CTGACATCAACTTGTGGAGGGCAAAATTTGGCCGGTCTTGGAAGTTGTGAAGCTCGCCGACAGAGAAGCCCACTGCGACCGGCACTCCGTCATTGTGCAAGTGCCTTTTCTTGCAGGCACATGCACCATCGCAATGTCCGAGGACGTTGTGTATATTTTGGCCTTGACTTCCATACATCCACTTGAAAGCCCTAACCAATATAGCAACCCATCACTTGTGAGAACGTGTGAGTGCCCACATTTGTTCAAGTTGAACCTGTCAAAACCGATGAGGCGTGGTACAAGCCTTTTTTTGAGTGCTGCAGGAACAGCCCTTGTGGACTGCCTGTTGACCACCAAGCGAGAATTTTTCGTGCCAGGCGCACTGTTTTGTAAGCCTGGCTCAGGTGCCTCACCTATACCTGCGCTCTCATACAAGTTAGCTCATGTGTTCGTTTGCCGCTTATGTGCACTCTTCTGTAAGTTGTGTGTGCTCTCATGTGTGTGCGTGTGTGTTCTCATATGTGTGATTTGTTCATTCATGCCCGTGTGCATGTGTGCTCTCATGTGATTGCTCAAACATGTGTGTTCTCATATATGTTTGTTATCCTTGTGTGTTTTCAAGTGGTTTTATTGCTGTGCAATTTTTTGAACACGGCTCAGGGAAATTTGCAGGATGATTTTCGCATTGTTTTCGGTTTGTGAACACACAATCTCTAATTCGTCTCATTTGTGGTTTGTTTGTTTTTGCCATTTGCACATTAAACTTCATTGCCATGTATAGTCAGAGTTGGCGTTGGAGAACACAATGCTAATTTTAATCAAAGCCAGTTGGAATGCTAATTTCAGAGAAAATGCCAGAATCTCTTTTGGTGTTGTTTGAACTCGCTTTCGATCCAACTTATAGAAAAATATGTTCATTTTCAATGTTCTTTTTACAAAACCTAACACCTGGCCTGGGAGGGCAAATTCTAAATGCTAAGTTTTTTGTAATACACCTATATTATATATCAGTATATATCTACAATTTCAAGTAGATTGTGTTTTTCCACCCCTAAAAATGCAACCTTGGTCGCCTGAACAGCCTGAAACATTCCTGTGGTCGAGATTGAGACATTTGGAACCAGTCTCCAGTCGGGGTTGCCGAAACACCCTGGTGCCACCCAATGCCCAAAGTCCATGCCCTCCTTGCAGGCTTGAGGATTGACTACCCCAAGGGGGGTCTGTTTTGGAAGAGGTTTTGTCGGTTCATTCGTTTGGAACTAGGCGCTGGACGCCTGAGGTCTCACAGGCGAATCAGCTCAAACTGTTCGTGAAGTGAGCGATGTCGCGAGGGAGCGGAGTGCCGGAGGGGAGCGGAAAGCCTTGAGGCGCTGGATTGGTGTGATATTTGTTCAAGATCCACGTCAATGTGTGAAATTAACCAGACACAGGCACAGCGCTAAGATTTACAACATATTACGACATGTCCATATATATGGTTTGATTGTGGTGTTATGATTTCTTGAGTGTGGCTTGGTGTTATGATGATCTGCAAAGGCATTTGGCTGTTCAAGCGAAGGCGTTTGGCATCCCCGGAAGACTGACATCGAAACGTAAATCGCACCGTGTTGCGTGTGAGACGGGTGCGGCGGTCTAGACGGCCAGACCTCACCACTCTATATAGACGGCCTGTGGCGATCACGGCCTCGGTTTGTAGAGGAAACAGGTACTACCGGTGTAGATGGGTCGAATTTGTAGCTCAGTTTGTTGAGGAATCGCTTGAAGATATCTTGATTAAATTCAACGGTTTTTGTTTGCATGAATTGAAGATTCATATCTTCAACGAGGTTCATGAAACGCAGCATGAGGTTTGAGCGCCCCCAAGCTTCGCGTGTGAAAGTCTGAAGACTCCGCCTGGCGATGGGTCAACATTGCGAGCCTGTTTGTGCTTAAAAAAGAGCAGGACTGAGCTGCTCTGAGTTCTAGTTGAGCTCTTAGATTTTGATCAAGTCATAGATGGCAGAAATTAATTACTGGGAACGGAACAGGAACCTCTTTTGTTCAAGCGCTCCCACGCTCACACTGCCCGGGCCCACCCGGGCCCACTGCAAGTTCAAAAAAACATGCCTCCCGGAACCTGCCTGCTTTGACCCAGATTTTGACCCATCCATTTCAAGTGCCACGCTGGACCTTCGGGTTCTGTGGGTTGGCTCGAAACGGGGCTTGAACGGTCGCCGTACCTCAAAGAAGATAGAAGATGTCCTGAACTACGTAGACCAACGTATAGACACTATTCAAATAATGTCGACATTCAACACATTCATGGTAACTTAATGTGATATGGACCTGGATATATTGCAACAATGAATCTCCATATATTTATGAATGTATGGATTGACATTCTGTTTACTGCTGCAAGTATACGGAGCAACCCCCATGGAGCCAGTGTGCGGACCTGGGAACATTGACCTGGTTCCAGATTTCTATCTTTGTTTCAATGTTGATGACAAACCGCCTAGAAGATGGCATGCAGCAAGAGTAAAAGTACTGTATATTAGAAGCAAAATGTTTATCCACTTTGGGGTCTGGATTTTGGCGCAATATTTTATTTGAAAGTAGTATTGCAAAATCCTGCAGGCAGGCCCAAAAGCTCATTATTATTGACACAGGGTTCATTAATGGGAGGTTAATATTACATCTAATACATGCACAAACTCAAAAGCTACAGAACTGACCCTCCAATATCCCCCCAATAAGGACAGAAGCGTATTGAGCCCTGAAGCTTCCCTCTAACATTTGTGTGGTGGAAATTGTGTTGCGGGTGTTACTATGTGTTACTTGTTATTTGTTTAAAGTGGAATCACTGCCCGTTTTACAACACACGAGCTGGCGAATCCGTTTTCTCGAATTCGATTTGAGGGGGTCGATATCCCTAGGGATCTACATACCTTCTCAGAAGGTACAACTGGGCCCTCTTGGCGCCTACATAAATAGTTTCTGTCCTCACCCTCACCGTACCTGAGAAGGGGGCTTGGATTTTTAAGGTATATAAATACATGTCTCAACTCACGGTGATATTCCATGACTGGCATCCCAAGGAGTCCCTGTTTTGCGTGTCCCGACGCCTTGACCGTGTGACCGTGCGCGTTGACCACGCCCCGCTGACCTCGGGAGCTTTTTGCTCGCATGACCCACAGAGCCCTCAGTGGCTTCGTTTCCTACACTTGGCCCTCCATGACTTGACCAGCGAAAATCCGAGAAAAGACCTGAGAAAGAAACAGGTAGAAAGGTAGCAGCACACTCACGAGTGAGAACGGATCAATATTGCTTCTGGGTACTGTGCTGCTTGGTGTGAGAAGGTTCGCATTTGCAACCAGGGGGTTCAAGGAGGATAGGTTTAAGGGGTGTTGCAGGTTTCTTTGTGAACGGAGTTTGTCCAATCAAGAGTCTAAGTAGCTACTGTTCTGTCATCAACTAGAACATATCAGGTCACATAGAGTTTTTCTTCAGGGGGTAGCAGCCGAATTTGGTTCCAGTAAGTTCCGATATTTATTGGATTTGACCGGAGTATGAGAGCAGAACAAGAAGCACTGCACTGCTCCCAACCCTTTACGAAGTAGTGCCCGAACGGCTGGTCGAGTTCGAGGGGCACCGTTAAACGGGTTCGTTTCCTGCTGAACCATCCTCTGACGTCTCACCCAAGGTGTTGAACCGTCAGACCTACGGTTTTGAGCGTCAGACCTGATTCCTGCTCACTGGCGGAGTACATCCGCAAACTGCCCGGTACCCCTTTTTAATCGGCATCGTCAGAGACACGGACAGGGGTGTGCCTCTTGATCAGTGCTTTCTTGCGGTGATTTCTGTGGAGAATGCAACGGTAGGCATTCTGTAGGCATTGTTTATTTAGTAAGTCGTTTTAAGTGTATTTTGTGATTTTTGAGATGTGAGAGGTGTTGTGTTTCGTCCTGGAATGGTAAAACCAACTTCATCCGGTTGGGACACATATTGAAGCGGAATTTACATCTAGCGGCATATTGAAGGTGTCTCACAACTTTTTTCTTTTTTCGAATGCCGAGTGTTTTTTCGACCACCACCTGTTTCGTGAGGCTTTCTTTCCGGTCTAGAGTCCTGGAGATAACTCTGTGCAGCAAACCATATATAATTAATATAGTATTTTTGTTTAAACATCCGTTCCAGAGAGCCCATCAGGAATATAATGACCTTTCTCTTATCATCGATACACCCGATCTGAGCTCGAACGATGCCCTGCTGGGCAGCGGGAGTCATCTCGATCCGTGGTAAGATGGACATCTCCAGACCCCCCAAAAAGGCGGTCGCGCAGCGAGGGAGGCCCGGTGGGTCGATAGGTTCCTTGTTTAGGGCGGAGGCCCTCGCGCGTTTGCCCAGCTGGGCACAACGGTCTTTTGGAACATGTTTCTTCATGTTTCTATAGTATATATAGGGTTGTCTCCAAAAGAGTTTCAATCAAGCACTTGTGAAGCAATGAATCAAATGGGTTTTCTGTGGTGTGCCATTATACTGTAAGCATATCAAAAATTCAAGAGTTGGATGGTTGTCAGATATTATGAGTCTCGGGTGTCCACCGAGTCATCGGCAAACTGAATGAGTTCTGATGGTGCTTTTTGTTTTTGTAAGTCTTAAGTGTTTTTGTAAGTGTTCATCGTTTTCGCTACTGGAGGTTTTCGCGAAGAGTGTGTTTTTTTGTTTTCGCTGTATGTTTGTCTTCCTCACTGATCCGCACAGTGAAATCCACTTCGAGGCATTTTGGGTCCAACCCACCCCCCCAAACTCCCACCCCTCACCGATCCACCGGACGCCTCGCAGTGTTAATTCGTCCGCGCTTCGCCCGCCTCGCCTCTCGCCGCGGACCGTCCCGTGAGTCGCCATAGACATAGACCGTATACCGGGCATGAGCATCCAGTCCGGATCAGACAGGACCTTCAGACCCCCGCGCAAACCGCCGGCCTTCCGGTGGAGGAGGGCCCGCGGACGCCAAAGCGGTCCGGTCCGCGGGGCAGGTGGACTTTCACCGGCTGCAGAGCAACGACATTGTGGAGATCCTCAATGTCCTAGGCATCGAAGCCACCCGGAAGGCTCGAGCGACTACACCGGTCGAGCGACTACAAACCGTCTTGTGGCGGAGGGGGGTGGGGTTTTGGCCGCGAAACTGGGGCGAGGGAAGAAAGGTGTGGAGCTGTGAAACTGGGGATGCCGGATTTGTTTCATCGGTCACAAGGATTTAATCGAGCCCCGTCACTCATTGGATGCATTGTTGTTCGAAACAGTTTGCTTCTAGATCTGTTTTTTTTGGTTTTGTCCACAAGACTGACTTCTGAGAATTCAACCCAGAATGACATAAATTGTCTTCCTTCCCATCATCTACAGGTTGCACCCATTACATTGGTGGATGTTTTTCTCCCTTATAGATTTCTTGAGGTTTGGAGACGAGCACCTTCGAAACTCACAAACATCACGGTCACCACGGGGTTGCAGGCCTTACTCTTCCATGTGCGGATGGTCATCTCCTTCGATGGCTCTTACGTGGGGTGTCCGAGGACGTCTTCGCTCTCACCCGTTCGGGCACGGAAGATCCGGTACCGAGGGGTTCGTATGTTTAGATGGTCCATGGTCCCAGACCATGCATGTTTCGTGCATAATATATATATACAATATATTGTCGTCATCATCATCATCATCATCATCATCATCATCATCATCATCATCATCATACACTTACATATATATATATATGTATAGTATATTGTATACTTGCATTGGGGTCATTGGCATGGTGATGTACCTCTTCAAGACATGGTGTGGTCATGGTCGACCTTGGCATTCGCATTTGGTTCGGTTCACTGAGTCCCCATGATCTGGCACTTGGTACAAAGGAATCGATCATCGATGTCTTGTTTTTGGCAGTTTTCTGTTGCTTGCCAGTTTTCATGTGTTTTCCTTCGCTTTTAGCCCCTGTGATTGCAATGATTCTAATTATTGTTTAATGGTTGGTTAATATAAACAATCCTGTAGGATGATGCTCAATGTATTAGGGTTGTTGAAACATCATCCATGCGAATTCCGGGTGGTGCAACCCAACCAGTCCTAACCTCAGAAAACAGTTTCTTTAAAACTGTCGGGGTGTTGAGCACCAGAAAGCTGCAAGTGAATCATGTGAGACGTGAAGTCCCCGCTGGTTGTGCTGATCATTGAGGTCAACTACCGCCACTTGGGCACCATGTGCGATGTCATGACCAACCGAGGGCCAGCGCACGCGACCGACGCGCACGCGCGCGCGACTGTCGGGGCGGTGGTCCATCGAACACATCCGTAAACATCGGGGATGGTGTCTGGAGCCTGGATCATTTGTGCGTGTTTATTTGCTAATTAGTCAATTAGACATCCTGTATTCCACCTATAAGCACCCCTTATTGAGGTCCTGGTTTGTTTGAGGTTTTTTCCCGTGTTTTCCGATTTGAGAGTTTCCCCCATCACACCGAGATGCGGCCGTATGGAATGGCGCGATTTGGGAGTCGAAACAAAAGGAAACCTCCAAGTACAGGGAAAGAATATAGGGAACGTATATTAAATTGGTCCTATTTGGTCCTAAAGTGATGTTGGCTTTATTTGATAGAGGAGCTTTTTTTCCCTCTTCGCAAGCTACGTGTGGACATATATGATTGTTGTTTTGCATTGTTTTGCAGGGTTGAATATATCATATAATATATCGATCTATACATCTTGAAGCAGAGGGGTTCCTTGAAAGGGTTCCCTACATCCAGCCACCAGACCCTGTGCCTCGGGGTCCAGGCACTTGATGGCCATCACGCGGCACGGAGTGAATCGCACCAACATGGGGCCGCTGATGAAATGCTCTTTAGCCCCAATCAAAGGGAAGAAGGAGGGAAGGGTGTGTGATGGTTTTGGGCAGAGTCCCTCAGTCGAAGGCTAGAAGTTGACAGACAGAGTGAGGATAAGCTGAGCCAAATGTCCGGAATTCAGACATCCAGTGCACCAAGATTTTGACGCTTGGCTTTTCGGGACAACGGCGGCTGCCTCAGCGGCGCTTCCACGCCAAACTGATGTATCTACCCGCGCGAAGCAACTCGTACACGGAGTGAAGTATCATGACACTCCATGGGACTCGCATATTATATTTACCGTATTTACCTATAGAGTCACCCCTCAAACCACCCCAAATGCATGTCAAATCCAGTCACCAGTCTCATGGTGTGCATAGGTAATGACGAGTCCCATCATGCTGCATTCATGTCCGACACGTCCGTGTCTATTTGGACCGTGTCTATTTGGATCTGGGCATGCCCAAATCGACGTAAAATCCAACGGTCTGTCCCAGTACTGAATTCCCAATAGATGAGCTTCCAGACTGAACACCATGGGTCCCACCGATATGAGGATTCAATGCTTTTGAAAAGTCAGGGAGCAATGAGGAACCACATGGAATATTGGTATACTGTATAAGGGAAGCCACATGTACTCATACGGTTCCCTTATATGAAGTGCCTTGAAACTTTGTGATGACTACCTTGCATAGGAGTGTTGCAACGGGCCACCAAAAATGATGGCCTCTAACAAGCTTCCAAAACATTGGAAAGCCGTAGGAGACTCACAGATCTGAGGATGCAACATCCGCACATAAAGTTTCACCCTGGTTCCCTCAAAAACTCCTGGTTCCCTTATAGGGCATGGGGCTGTGAAGCGACTGTGACACACTTTGGCCATCCAAGCCCAGATGCGGAGAAACCGGATGGTGGTGAAGAGACAGCGTTGAAATCGGTGGTCCTGCTCCCGTTGCCTTCGTAACTAAGAAAGCAACCACGTCGGACCCGAGCCGAGGCAGCTTTGAGGAGACGGTGCGCCTTCTCGGTGCAGAGTTGGTTTTTTTCCTGCGTTGAGAGACAGAGATCACCACCTTTGGAAAGAGAAGAAATCACCACTGCCATATCTTCAGGGGAGGAGCGGTGTTCAGATGTTTGCCGTGCAGGGGAAGGACTCCCCTCCTTCACTTGAGCGCTCCATGGCCTTCCAAGTCTTTCAGAATGTGCCAGGAAAATTACTGCAGGTGTTCCAAGAGTTTTTCTGATTTGACAACCAGATGAGCAAGAGCTCTACACAATCCCCACAAACCCGAGGCAATTCCTGGGGACGTAGCTTTGAAGAGTCCTGACAGCTACCTATAGAGCTTTTGAACAATCAAGTTGTTTTGACCTGAAAAGGAAGAGTCGCAGTAGGAGGTTTGTCTTGATTTTTTCATGATTTGCCGCGTTTTTTCATGAAAGCTAGCACCAGCTAGCTGGAGTTGTTCTTGCTTTAGAGCGCCGCATCCCATCAAAACTTCATGCGTACGACTCGCCCCCGCGCAGGTTCAACTCCTCCCTGGGACGTCTCTGGGACGTGTGCATTTGCATGCTCACCCCCGCCACGCTAGCTTTCGTCACCAACCCTCGGCCTCAAGTCTTTCCTCCACGGCCATATGAACCGATTCCTGGGCCAGAGGCACCCAACGAAGCGTGGCATGGTGAGTAAAGTATAGGGAAACGAAAAGCAGAATGAGGTGTTTAAACGTGAGGTCAGAGAAATGTGTAGTGAAACAAGGCATTTTGCGTTGTGTTGCAGGTTCTGCGAGTTAGTTTGATGTGGCTGCTAGCAAAAGAATCGTGGGTTCTTTGATCAACTGACAACCAGTTTTTGGATGTTTCAATCGTTCACTCGAACCATTAAAGCCAAACTGGAGTTTGGTGTGCAAATAGAAGGGTCGTCGGAATGTCATGACTCACAGCTGCATATTACTGCTACTGCGAACGCTTTGGCACAGTGAGGGGCCTTGGCACATTCCAGTGATCGTGTGTGGTCCATCTCTTCCTTCCATTCAGTGCTTTCTGTGGACACAACCGATCTCCCAGGCCTCGACCATGGGTCGTGGGATGTCATGAGCCTTCACTTGGACGAAAGACATGTGTTTTTTCTGTGAATGAACCGTTTGCCATGGCAGGTGGAGATCTTGATGGATGCGGCCATCTACAATGAGGCGATGGCCGCAGCAGCGTGGTTGAACGGAGGGTGGAACCAGTCGATGGCCGCAGCAGCGTGGTGTGAGAGTTCCCGGTTGGACAAACCGGACTGGTCAGGAGGGTTGGACTGGTGTTTTCAGATCTGGACCTGGAACCCAAACTTGCAGGGGGACAGCAGTGTGATGTTTTTATTGTTTTGTGGTGTGTGTGTGTGTGCGTGCGCGCATGGGATCAGACATGCCGTTTTTGTCCATCCGGATGAATTGGGTTCAAGGCTTAGTGTATTGAGTATACGATCTCCACGCCCGGAAGTAGAGTAGTTTGCATGAGATCTCTTTGGTCTATATATATATATAGAGATAATTAAGAATCGTGGACAAGTAGAGGTACCTGGCTTGGAGGCCCTTCTGCTAAATCTACAGCGGATCAATAACTATCCACAGAAAACTGTGGGGAGCACAGTTCAACCCAGGAAGAGACCCACGTGGAACCTGAAAATGGACCTTTGGAAGACTGTTTTCCTTACAACCCAGTGGTTTTCAGCTTTCATGTTAATCTTCCACTTTAACTATAACATACTTTATACTATTATATAAACTATATGGAGGCAGTGCATTGTGCATCCATGATTTTCTATTGTTACACAACATGTTCGTTGGGGGGGTAGTTCATTGAGATCCACTCCATGGGTACTTGGGATACACGGCCACACGGAAGCGGCCAGACGGATCACATGCGCTCGGTCTCTGAGAACATTATCTTCGGGCAGCTGGTCCCGGTTACGGCACCCAGACCCGTCGCGTTGGGGTCGGGGCGCCAGGGTGTCCACCGGGTGGACCCAAAGTGAGGAGTTTGGGCAGTGGCCATTTGGTAAAGGAGTGGTCACGATTTTTTGAAGAAGGCCTGCGGCCTAACCGTACCGTCATCGTCCTCCTCCTCACCCTCCTCCCCATCCACCACTGTTCCTGGTAGCGGGATACACCCAAGATATTGTGTGATATTACTGTGAGGAGAGAAATGCATGCAATCGTCAACCAGATCACGAGGTGTGCAGTGATATGCTTTGTTATTACTTCCACCAGTCCCTGCCCGTTTGTTCGGGTTGGAGTTTGGGGGGTCCGTACTGACGATGCCCTCAAATTCCTCACTCCAGGGTCCATTGTTTCGCTGCGTTCTCGGCATACCCAGATCGGAACTGGGAGCTTCGACCTTCACATGGATGACAAGACCACGGAGCCGCACTTGCTGAGCGAAGCGATGCGAAGCAGCGAACATGCACTCGGATCACGTGTCCGGTTCATGACTGGCAAGTGCAGAACCAGGACCAGGACCAGCTGAGCAGTTTGTCCCTGTTTTCGACTTAAAAAGGGGTGTTAGACCAATTGATTCCTTCTCAGGCACTTCGACCCCATCACAGCCCACCTTTGCTTGTGGCACTGTGGCACAGACGCTCGTGCTTCATTTAAGCAGGAAAGAGGCTTTTCACGCTTTGGGACAATCTCCCTCAGATTGGATCCCTTATGACCCCTCTTTTCTTTGGAAACAGTGAGCAAGCATCGCCTGCGTAGGGTCATCGTAGTTGGTGATTTTGGGGTTCCTGGATGAGGAGGCTACCTCAGGAGACGGGTGAACCTCGGGAGCTCAGGTCCTCGGGTAAAAGATGCATATTGACTGAGGTCCTCATATGAACATCACTTATAGGATACGGGATATACATGTATGATTCATCATGTATGCTTGGGACACTGATTTCATTTTTGGGAACGTATGGCAACACTCCTCCAATTTCAACCATTTGTCGTGAGAGAATGGGCTCTTCGGTGCACCAATATGGTGAAGAGCTCGACCTGACCTCTATGGTGAAGCCAGGTGACCCTTGATAGGCTCCAAAATGGCCTCCAGACTTGGCCAGATCGGATCACCCCGCGGCCGCTGGTCGTCTCCAGGAGAACGACTTGAACCCCGCCTGCGCGCTGGATCATGCGACCGTGGTGGCACCACCCAGAGAGAAAGCGTGGCGGGCGGAGTCTGGAGCGAAGCATCAAAGCAACAAAAGTCCATATTGGTTTGGGGGAAGATGTCGGGGGAGAGAGAGATAGAGAGAGAGAGAGAGTGTGTGTGTGTTTGAAGGTCTTGCTTTAAATATCTTTAAATTTAGTACGGAGTGTTCATGTTCATCAAGGCAGTTGTCACGATTGATTCATGTTGATTATAGTTAAAACAACTCTTGAGGCGCAAGCCCCTTAGCACCATCAATCACTGATATCGCTGATGTCATCCCTCCGAGCGTTCCTCTTCAAAAACGCGTAATGGCAACTGCGGAAGGAAATGATACCAGCCCTGAAGAGCACACACAGACACGCACCTGACGTGTGTTTGATTTTTGTTTGACACTGCTCAACTGAAGAGACCGGTCAGCTCCAGTTCTCAGTAGAACCTTGGCAGTACTTCACAAAGTACTTCATCAGCCTGGAAGAGCAAGAAGTCATGGAAGTCTAGAACCTTCCGTCCGAAGCCTCACCATCCTTTCCCATGCTTCACCCGTTTCAGTCCTCAAAACCGTTCACCCGTGGTGTTTGGCGGAAGCTCGGCAGCGACGCACACCGAGCGGAGAGGTTTTGCCCTCCAAGTTCAAGAGCCGCGAGGTGAGCAACACATCGGTCAACCGCGTCGTGGGTTTCACTGGTGGACCGGTGTCCTGGTCTGGACAACACATGAAAACACCATGACTCATCGGGGCGACCTGTCCTGGTTGCGAATTGAGAGGTGCTGTAGTCTTTGAGGGAGAACATCAAACATTTGCCACTACTAGACTATATCAAATAACGTACTGTAGTATCCTTTTCCGTGTTTTATGGATGTGATAGATTGTACTTTATGGATGTGATAGATTGTACTATATAGTATGTTGCTTCAAGCTTCAGTGAATCGATCTCAAGCCTCGGTTTCCGGACCAAGGGCTCTTCTGCTGCGGCGCGGAAGAACCCGGGAACCGGAGCCGGTTCCGAGACCCACATGGAATCGATTCGAATCTTCCAGAGGTCCATCCTTCCAGGTGTGTGGATCTCTTCCCGGTGTATTGTGGATCGGAGGCCAAAGCGTGAGAGCCGTGTCTTTTCTCTCTTTCCAGACCCGGCGATGGGTCAATTTTCCATGAGATCAGATGGAACTCCCAAGACACCCAACGTCGTTTGGGCGATTAAGTTTTCACTCCAAGACGTCTTAAAACTGATAAACTGGAACCTTCAACCTTCCCGGTATTTGGTTGTTTTTTTACACTATGATATTTTTTGGGGGGTTTAATAGAATGTATAAAACTGTACCATAAACAGTCTCTTTAGTCAACTGCCCCATTGCCCCGGCGTCGGGACCGAGTGCACGGTGATCGCGACCGCCAGACCTTTGGAGTGAACAGTCCCATGCCACACCAGATCGACGCGGAGTCCTTGCCGGACCGGGGGGGGGGGGATGGGCCAGTCACTGGGCGCCCGGATCGATGGACCAGTTGACTGGGCTGGAAAAAGGATTGGGTGCAGTGCTTGGTGCTTGCTTGGTGCTTGGGTAAATCCCATGGTGGCAGCGCATGGTCTGCGCTGGCGATGTTTTTGGGGTTTCACAAGGACACGCCGGGTCCCCATGGACTTGGCGGTGTATCACCCTGAAGGGCGTTGCGGCACACCATCAACTGTGTACATGCAAACGTGCAAAAAACAATATGTTGGTGAAAACCTTGACATCCCATGTAAGACATATGGTTTATTTATATATTTACCTATATAAATTGGGCTGGTTGAAAACGGAGTCAATGTCGGTAAATATAATGTCGACCTATCATTAAGCAAATCCCAAGACCAAATACTAAGCATCCCCTAAATAAAGCGGCTAAATGTATTCACCCCTGGACCTAAATATCCCAAAATCTATCCTTGAAAAAGCCTTTTATGTAGTGTTTGTGCCTTTCAATTTATTATTCCTTATCTTACATCCTTCCCTCTGAATTTCATCCCTTGGACCCACCAAAACCCAAAACCTGCTGATCAAACTTGTTTGTGAATTCCTTATTCAAAACCCACCAACAATTGACCAGAATCAGTCTGGAAAGGGTACCCCCCTTGAAGCAACCATACCATAGATATAGTGTACCCGGTGTGTACCCTAAATACAGCTAACGATTTTTGCTGGCAGAACAATTACTGTATCCACAATACTAATTGTCCTTTGATCTCAATTCCAGAAATCTCTCCCCAAAATGTTTTTGTTTTATCTCAATTCCAGGAACCTCTCCACAATACTAATTCCATGTTCATTTCAATTCCAGGAACCTCTTCCCAATACTAAATGTTTACCATTGGATTCCTTGCTAATCTAGCTTCTAGCCATATATAAGTAAAGCCAATATTTCAGACTATTTAAGGTCACCTGAGAGCGGGGGGGGGCCTCCCGTTTCTTAAGCAGAGGTGGACATTAAGTAAATCTTCTAGTCCCATAGGGGCGTTTGGGTGCTCGACATGGCTCATGAGGGTCGAGCCAGTCAACAAGGGTCGCATGTTTGAAAGCCCATGGAATCAGGACCGGAGGCGACGGACGAACAAAGAAGAGCACAACAATCAAAACGACCTCAAGCTGCACCACACATACAGGGGGGACTGACTGGTTGCAGCTCTATGCAGCTCTTTGTGATGGAAACATTATGCTTTTTGTCAAGATGCCCCACAGAAATGTGTGTTTGTTTGTAAGTGTTTGGAGTGGGTTCCAGGTGGTGCGAGACATACAAGACCTTCTTCCAAGACCTTCTTGCGACCAGATCGACATCCTGCGCCACCGCAGGCTGAAACGCCCATGGAGGAGCACTAACGGTCGTTTCACGCGTTGCTTCGTGTCGGGACGTAGAGCCTGGAGATGCTGCAGGGGCCACGTGACACAACGTGTCGGCAACGATACTGCTTCATAAATTAATATATATAAATTTATATATATATAGATTATAAAACATTCCTCCGAGTGTTTGAGTGACTTTGAGTGTTTTGGAGTGTGTATAGATGTCTATATATAGATTCAATTCCAACAAGAATCCAACATTATGTTTGAGAAGACTGGAACATGAAGAGTGCTTAAACATACTTACACTTACTGATCTCACTTACTACTGTACGTATTGTTCCTGGCAACCAAAAGGCGAGATCACTTCAAAAGACGAGTGCCCAATTTGCTGTTAGAATAAGTCAAACGTAGTACACTATTGATATACAACACGTGATATTGAGACATGATAGGCATGATCGAGTCACCCAGAATGTTGTGAAGTTTTGCAGTTGCAAATTCTCATTCCGAAGGCGGAACAAGCAGCCAGTGCTGGTCAAAAGTCGTTGTTCAGTCTCCAAACCATTGGTATATAGTAAACCCATGTAAACCCCATTTCAATATATTTCAATCAACAGAACAGCTGCCATTTGGATCCATTTTTGTTTGTTCCATTCTTTCGCAGGTCTTCCAAGTACTCCAAAACAAAAATGATCAAAATCACGTCTTTCGTGAATCGGCCCTGGTGGGGCCCCCGGTTGCTGTCAGGAGACACACCAGGACCTGATCCCCACGACGGGCGGCACCTATGCCAATTTGGGAACGGTGGAGGCCAAAACGCCCTAGTAGCTTCTTGTTCCTAGTAGTAAGGCCAGGAGCCCCTAGTAGCGTCCTTGCTCCTAGTAGCGATGCCAGGAGCCCCTAGTAGCTTCTTGTTCCGTCCCAAAAATCACCGCGATGGTTCTGAGAACGAAAAGAATTCTCCTGGTGGACCAGGGGAGAAAACCGAGCAACTGATCCTAAAAATGAGCGTTTTTGTTGGAGGACCTGTGAGTGGGGTATGTAACATGGGCGGAAACCAGCTTGGTAAGTGTGATTGAACTTCCAAGAGAGCAACATGGGCCACATCCTGTACCATCTACCACCTCACATGATTCTTGGATGGTGCTGCAAGGGGGGGCGAGCCTTACTTGAGATTTGCTCATGGCAAATTGTCGGAGATTGAAGAAGTTTTGCTGGACTTGTAGAAGGCTAACCTCCCGGAATCAACCATATAATTTATATCGTAAACCAACCGAGAACAAAGTCTGTCCTTGCCATACGCTTTCGATCCTTTCGTTCAAACAAAAAGTGTAGATGCTGCCATTTGCCTGTGCATCGAACCGCCTCTTGGAGGTGTCTCCTGGCAGTACACCGCGATTCCAGCAAGTAGGCAAAGTGATGGGCTGTGTGTGATATACGCTGACAGAGTGGGATTGGAACAGGATGGGAGGCTGAGAATTCAGGGAAAAGAGGTTCCCAAATGATCCCAAATGTACCAATCACATAGACCCCACCGGACATGACAAACTCCATATTAGATTCCAATTCCATGCTGTGGGTCGGTTTTCTGAGCAAAAGAGAAGGGGGGGGTGACAACCATGACCATCCCCATAGAGAAGTTTACAAAATACCTGGACCCCCAGTCGGGGTGGTTGATGGACACCCCTTGACCTCTTGTCGGGGCAAAAAAAAATGGACACTCGAAATCCATGGTGCGTCCGATCTTGTTGCAGGTCACTTGCACGCTGAACCGCAGTCCGATGCCACCGCTCCGTTCACCCGAACCCGAGAACCCGGGCGACCGGTCCACCGGTCGGTTCGGACGGTTCGGGACGCGGTCAGGCAAGTTGGACACTCCCCTCGCCAGGGGCACCCAGCTGCAGCGAGTTCCGGACACGGGTCCGGAGGAGCCAAGCATGACGAAGATGACCTTTGTTCATTGGGTGGCCTTTTTTCATTCAAAGAGTCCTGAGCATCCTCAAAGAAAGCCGAGCTGTATTCATTGGGTGGCCTCCTTTGATTCCTTCAAAGAAAGCGGAGCATCCTCCATCATGTTGGCACATTCGGTTGCAACACGTTTGTTGCCAGCTCAAAGCCAATCAGCGTCCGTTGGCCTCTTCAGCCACACACCTGCGGTCTCAGGAATTGTGCAAACCATGGCCAATCAGTTCATCCCCAAACTCCAAAAAAATGCTATGGTGATCTTGATACTTCAGCCTTCAGCCTTTGGTGTGTTCATCTTCGCCATTCCGCCGCCATCTGCCCCCCCCGACGACGACCACTGGGTCAGCAATCCCCCGTCGGTCAGCACTTCACCACCCGAGGCCACTCCCGGGACCATCGGTACGCAACAGTGCGCCATCGGGTCCTTCCCTCCGCATGGCGCAGTATAGGGAGGTTTCGGTCCAGCCCCCTGGAACGTTCGTGCGAAGGACTGAGATGCGGATGGGTTCCCTATACAGGACGGTTAGACCTTTTTGGGTGTGTGATGGGTGTGTGTCTTTTAACAGGGAGACCTTCTGGCCCCTAACGGATAGACCGGGTAATTTGCTATTTTCCTTCTTCCTGGGGGTCAGCAACAATTTGGGTTTGGGAGGGCTCCCTACTGGAATACACGACGCCCATGTTGTATAGACTCATTGGACGATCACAGCAGCGTGTGAGAGCTGGCATGTCACATGTCACAGCTGAGCTCGAACATACCCAGCACTCCAATGGACTGGCATACATCCCAGTCCTTGGGGAGTTCCTTGGGGCGTTTAAAAAAAGGGTCAATGTAGACATGCATTCTCAGACAACACTCAAGTAAACCATCACTGCAGTGGCTGACGACTTGGTGTCAACATACTCGTCAAGCATTTTGGGGCGGGTACGTATGTAGTTGCTGGTTGAACAAGTGGAAAGCTATCTCCTCGACGATTCAGATTTGGCACAATTGAAGCCGTATGTTTCTCACCCCCAAATGGAAAGGGTTTTGAAGGTAAGACCGCTGTAGTCGTTGCTCATTTTGAGTCGTTCGGAGGATCAATCACCAGAAGCCTTCCATTTCATGTCCGACATGCAATTATAAACCCAAGGGATCCAAAGGAGAAGTTTGGCAGAAATAAGTTGCATGCCAAAATCCACTGACAACAGAGACTTCTCATAGACTGTATACCAGGACATCCAGTACCATCCGGACTACCCAGCCGATGGATCCACAGAACTGAACACCCAGACCGCAGAGTCCTGGTACTAACTAGTATACTAGTTAGATACTAAGTGGAGGCCATCGCTATTAGGGTGGAGGCCATTCCTATTAGCCTCCTTTTGCTAGCAACAAGAAGCTTCCAACCTGCTTCCTCCGCTCGTTGCCCGTCTCCACGACTCCACGTCCCGCGACCGCGCTCGCACCCTCTCCGCCACAGCGACCGCGACCCACCGCGACGCCAGCGTCCTAGCCGCCCCGACCGCGACGCGCCGACTTCAGTCGCTTCAGGCGGGGTGGGTAGAGGGTGGATGGAAGTCCAAGGGCCGGCACTTGAAAGAGAGGAATTGGAACACAGATCCAGATTGAAGGTGGACTTCGGTTCGAAGCTTTTGTTGTCACGACATGCTACTATAGTCTTTTTGACCCAGGTGTTCTCCCCTTCGGTCCGGTGCTTTTGATCGTTTTTTCCAGGCCGACGATGGCTGCTACCTTGGTCGGGGAACTCGGAGAACGCTTTGCTGAACGGTTCAGGGAGGTGTTTCTGTGTTTTTTCTAGATGGGAGGTCAGGGATTTCTCAGCGAAACCGCTCATGATGATTTTGTTGCGAATTGTGTTTGAACTCGATCTAATTATGAGAGGTGTGGTGTTAACTGGTAGCTTTTGGGTTGGTTTCTTCCCACTGGTGATTCGCTGGAAGACTCCAGGAGTCTTCAAGTCTTCCAGATGTCGGGGCACAAGCAGCAGAGAATTGGTGAGCCACTAGCTCCTTAGTGCCATGTCATAAGCAGATAGCATGAGATAGAAAGGTCTGGCCGCCTGGGTCGACTCTCCCACAGCGGCGGACCCCTCGCGGCAGAGTTTTTTTCGGGTCTCTCCAAGGTCGTCCCATCTGACATCACCATTTTGGAGGAAAAGAAGACCATCGGCAAGCCGGGGTGCTTGAAGAACTCTGAAGAACGTGGAAGCTGGGGTGGTGCGGGAATTTGGTCAAACAAATCCAGGGCATGCATAGGACATAGCAATGCTGATGTTTTCTGATCATATTGCTGACTAGTTCGGTGGGAGCCTTTGCTTTGGAAGACCTGGGGTGGACCTGGGGTGCTAGAAACCAAGTGATTCCATATGGGAACTAGATGGAACTACAAGGATAAAACTAGACTCTTTTTGGGGGAGGCCAGTGGTTCTCAGCTCTGCGTAGGTTTGTGTTGGTTGGAGGCTGTGAGGCCGCAGGCCGAAGTGGGCTTGATAAACATGCTGGGCAATAGAATATTGCTGCTATGAATGAAGCAAACTTCCTTGAGATGGAGTATATTTGATTCTTGGAATGTTCTGATTTTAAAGTTCTTGACCTTCGCCAACTGGATGCTTTCAGATCTTCCACATTTGTTGAAAGTGGAGATTCCCAGCATACTTGCCTACATTTGAGGGTCTAAGCCTAAGCAATTTCAAATGAGTATCCCCCAAGAAGTTTCGTAGAAGTACTTCTCCCCTATGGCCCACTCGGAGATTCAGTAATTAGGGTATTCCTATCCATTCCCGGAGACAATGTCCCCTCATCCGGTCCCATCGGACACACAGGGAAGAGTACTCGCATCCCTCCAAGGCGCAAGTTGTGGCCATGGGAGATCACCGGGCTCCTGGGAATGGCCCGGGCTCCTGGGAATGGCCCCGTCTGCTGAAAGCTGGTTGAAGAGGTGCTGGTGGGATTCCTGTCGGGTGACCACCCAATGGACAAACCCAGACGACTTATAGGTCTCCATTGGACCAATTGTTGGGAGCGCTAGGTGAATATGTGATGTATTGGTAATGTGATGTGGATAAATGTTCACATTGCAACAATAACCACTCCTGTGAAAATGTTGAGGTTTAAAACCATGCTCGCCGCAATAACATGGCCAATAATTAACTACTCGCAATAATAAACCTCGGACCTTATAGCTGGACAGCCAGAAAGAGAGGTGTACAGGAGAAAGAGAGGTTTCTTATTACAATAGTAGTCGAACATAACAACATAATATTGCAATACAGCAGAAAGTTGCGTTTATTGTTGCAATAGTTCGAGGATCTTTTTGTGGTACAAGATAATACTTGGTTTATTGCTGTAATCTAGGAGACAGTTGGAACAAACAAACGTAAATTATTGACAAGTTATGCCGATAGCTCTATTCCTAGCTATAAGAAAAGTGTCCGCCTCAAAGGGGGGGCTCGAGGCACTTGATGGCACCGGATGCGCATTTCGACCGGCGCATCCGGTGGGTGACTGCGACCCACGAAAGAGGACGTTCCCTAAACCCCCAAGAAGAGTTTTTTTGGGTGCAACCAACCCATGCGTTGAAGAATGCGTTTGATCATGGCATTGAATGGCTTTAAGTCTTCGGAACCATATAAGTGCATTGGATTGGGCAGGATCCACTATAAGTCATCCGACTCTGACAGCTTAGGCGGTGGGTCGTTGACCCAAAACATGTGTGTTCCGAAACGCAGGCGCCCATGCTGCACATTCACTACAGCAAGTCGAAACCTCAAGGAGATGACCCGAACGTGAAAAAGCTGAGTCAACCGAAACACAATGAAGTTGCTGCTTTGATTTGGACACGCCTGGGATGGGATGTGGATGGCCTATGGCCGGGCGCGAATTGGAAGATTGCGCTGCACTACAAACCGTACCGTGTTACGCCTGGATTTTTCTTGGTGTATAAAGGGGGTCCACCAAATGTCCGTTGGTGAAACACTTAAGCATGTCTATTTCCGGTGCTTCATGTATAGATACTGGATATTACTGGATTATATGACGTGTGTTCTGGGATGGCAACAGCTGTGGCAGGTCACTCATGCATGTGGTTTCAGAGCACTGCAGCCCTGGCAGCTGGGAGGTTGGACCGTGGCGACAAGCGGCAGATCCTCTCCCGGAAATACGACCCGGATGTGCGGGGCTCCAGATTGTGTGCGGAGGTGTGCGGGTTGAACTGGAGACCTTTCAGCGAGCATAGCGCTGAGCCGCCTGCATGAAGAACCAGGGCATGAATGTGAGAAATCTTGATTGGGATATGTTTATTTTGGCTGTTGCACAAATCAGAGCGCAAACCACTCGACATCATGTTGCAACATGCTGCAGCACTCCTTCGATGGATAAATTTGGATCTGATTATTCAATTGTACATGTCTGCAATTCATGCTCAGCGGATGTTCGAGCCAGTTGGCCACCGTTCCAAAATCACCCGAGTCTGGGGTCTAAGGTGTCGAATGTCACTTCCGTCGTGGAAACCACGCGTCCCGCGGCGGCGCAGGACACCTCTGCGGCCAACCAGGTCTGCCAGCTCCGGCAGGAGGCCGTGCGCAAGGAGGCGCGCGGACACGTCTCGTGTGGTGTGGGAGAACGCGGAGCAGGGGAGCAGCATGAGTAGTGTTGTTTTTCGATTTTAGGATTTTTTGACTGCTGCCAAAACCTCCAATGAAGGCAGCATCACTACATTGAAGACTATAAGTATAAGTAAAGTGAAGGAAACCTTCAGGAACGATAAGGTTCACAGAAAAAAACCGATAACGTTGGGAAGAGTGCGCACTACAACACATAAGAGGTTTTGCACGTCGCTCATATAGTGTACGGACTGTGCAGGCCACGGGGCAAGAAGAACACCCTGTTTCTTTGGTATGTTATTTCGAAACATTTCGGGTCATCTCAGACTCAACCTGAGAGTACTTATATTGCCTTTCCAGGAAACAGGCGGAATCTAAACGAACTCATGGCGCCTCAGAGCCTGGATCCCCACCATCGGACCAAGGGACCCTCCGACTCAGCAGTCACCCGACCAAGTGCAGAATTCAGCTGGGAATGAATGAATGAATTGGAAGATGCACTGCAAAAGAACATCATCCATGTCATCCATTCCCAACATTGAGGCTGCAAAAGGCCCTCGTTGCCATCGTTGAAGTCCCAAATGTCACACTTTCCATGGTGACAAGGAGGCCATGAATGGTTATCCAAGGCCGTGAGTCTTCGAACCATGTGGAAAACCTCCGGGATCCACACCGGTTTCACATGCACACTTCACACTCCCTGAAACGTCCTTTCGCCCGGTCGCGTCCACACCGTAGGTCGTGGCCACGAACGTCATGTGGGACACCGCGTACCACGTCCTCAGTGGGTGTGACCGTCCTTGCG